CGACCCCCTCCCGGCCCGCCGCTAGCGAGGGCAGGGCCTCCCGGCTCTTACCTGGCTGCAGAAGGCGAGGAGGAACACGAAGGCGAAGCGGACGGTACCCATGCCGGCGGCAGACATGGTCGGGGCGCAGCAGGCGCGGCCGCGCTTTTATAGCGCCGGGCGGCCGCGGCTCGCCAATGGGCTGAATGGAGTCCCACACAAACAGGGACATTCCTCGCATTCCTCCCCACCTTCCTGCCTCATCAACTCACACCGGATTGATCCTGACCCCTTGACACTCAGCATTCCTCCGTCTGAAAAAGCTGGCACACTCCAGCTCACCGAAAAAAAAAAAAAAAAAAAAAAGGCACAGTATTTCCAGCACCGAATAGGTTTGTTTCTTTTTCTTTTCTTTTTTTTTTCCCGTTCCTCTTTTCCTCTTCGCACCGTCCCTCATTTATAACATTTAGAAACATACTGGCAATGATTATTTTCCATACCATTTCCTTTCTAATAGCGTTGCCTTGTTCTGTCCATTGACAGAAATACTTTTTAAGAGGTGGGCAGCTGAAGAGGCAAACAGCGGGGATTCTTTAAAAATTTGAGAGTTTTTTTTTTATTTTTTTGGTTTCGCATGATTTTTGTTGTAGAGGCTGTACACTTTTGAAAGTTTTAAGAGAGCAGAAAAGGTGCGAGTAGTTTTTAACATGTGAAATCCCCCAAATGCCCCCCTGAAAAGTCCTGGATTCTATATCTAAAATGTAGGAATTTGAACCTTTGTCATGTGAGATAACGGTTTGGCTGCCCATTGCCAGACAAGAAGGAGGACCAAGCTGGGGGTGTAGTTTCCCGGGGCAGCTTTGCATGCTTTCTGTGTTTTCTCTCAACACTAGAAGTTTCCTTGTTGGGAATAGGGGCTGGGGGGATGGATGAGTGACCATCAAGTTTTGAAGAAAAGCAGTCTATTGTTAGGTCAGAGGAAATGATTCCGCTTTGGGTAGGTGGAGGCTGTGGGTGGGGATGGGAGCACAGGGGTGGGAAGAGAGGGGGACCAGCAAGAAGTGTCTGGCTTACTTGGGGCATTTTAAACATAGCTGCACTCAGGTCTTTGAAAAGCCAGGGACTTCTCTTATACTACAACCTATACTATTCAAATGTGGCTTGGACGTGATTTGTCTTGAAGTAAATTTTTTTGATTATGAAACAACAGTGTACCCCATTGCATCTGGTTGTAAGCTAAGAGTATCAGTAAATCATATTTATATTTTCAGTGACTCCTCCCACATCTATAAATAGCGATGATGACTTATTATCCAAGAAGCATGCAGTCTAAGGAGTGCGGTCCACTCAGAAAGAACAGGTTTGCGCTCTTGCTTCTGAGCAGATGTCAAATATAAACAGTAAGAGGCCAGCAGGTGGCATGGTGGTTAAGGTGCTGAACTCCTACGTAGCTGACCACAGTTCTAGTCCTGGATCTGGTGGCTTGCTTTCTCACTTCCCCCCACCCTCCTTCCTTAATATTTCTCTGGTGAACATGTATGCCTTGTAGCATTTTTTAAAAAATTAATTAATTAAATTAAATAAATGATTCTTTAAAAAAAATGTAGCCAATAAGCTTAAGCATATTCCCAGTTCTTAATATTACTACTTAGCTTTATTAAGAACCCAGTTAATTAACTGTGTTTCATTTATTAAAATCTACGTTGTTAGTGGCTTTATCGTTAATTTCAGTAATCACTATATGTAAAGAGAGTAATTCTAGGTCATGTCATTTCTGCCTTCTGTAGTGCCACATTATTTGACACTGGTGTTATCTATGAGTACATAACTTCCAGTTGTAGATGCTTTAAAATATAGGCTTAAGATAAGCATATTTGTTTCTAAAGACATGCTTTACAAACAACACATTATAGGTTTATAACTTGAAAATAGCCTTGTTTATTCTAGCCAGATTTTTGAAAGTTACAATTTGTTCTACTGCAAAATAGCCAAGAAAAAAAAAATCCACTCCAACTTCAGGAGAGACCACATCACCTGTGCACAATTACCTCATTAAGCAAGCCACACGGTGTACAGTGTAGTTGCATGTCCACAGTATGAATGACCAGCAAAGGGAGCCTCTGAAGCTCGGGAAGAATTTTCATCATTATTATTTAGTGTTCTTTCCAAGCACTCCTCAAAGAGAAGAGGCTTAAGAGTTCCTATTTAAAGAAGGAACATTCCAAGTTATGTTAATAGCCACATGTGTATTAAAGGCAGCTTGGTCCCCATCTTTTCTTCCCTTGTGCATGATTTTGAAAGTCCAAAATATGTGGGAAGCCACAATGAAATCTTTCAAGACCTAAACTCCCAATTACCGCTACCGCTAATGGTTGGAAAGGTGGAATCCACTGGAAAGGGGAGGGATGTGAAATGTGAACATCACCTAAGGCTGGATGAGGGCTTGGTGGTGAATTCTTGTCGTTTGCAGCATGAGGGAACTGGGAGAACTGTAGGGGAATTTTTAAATCCTTGGGAGAGTCTGAGAACCACCAACAGCAGCTTCGTGCACACAGGGAGAAGACTTAGTCATGGAGGGGACAAATGACTAGACTGGGTTATGGTTGGGTGTTCTGGGTCATATTCTTGGAATTGCCATTCACAGATCTCAGAGAAGTCACAAGGAGAGCATATTGCCATGTTTCCATTTATAAAATCAAGGTTATAATAATTTTTAAAATTATTTCATAGAGTTCAGTGAATGTTAAATAGATGAAAAATCTTTAAGCAATTATTTATTTTTATTTACTATTATTCTTTGTTATTTGCTATAGGGCATAGGGCATGTGTGTTCACCAAAGAAAGACAGCGAGAGAGAGAGAGAGAGAAAGTGAGAAAGCAAGCCTCTAGGTCTGGGACTCAAACCGCGGCTGACCATGTGAGAGTCAAGTACCCCAAACATGATGCCATCTGCTGGCCCAATAGACAAAAATTATTAAAAGGAGTCAATACTTTTTTTTCAATCTTTCTTGATTTTCCCTTTCTCTTATATAACAAGTATATTACTGTTCTACTCTACTGTTAATAATGACAAAATAGGCCCAGCCAGGTAGTGTGGTGGTTAAGGCAGCTGGGTCCCATATAGCAGACTGCACAGTTTGAGTCCTGGACCCAGCAGCTTGAAAAATATGCTAGTGCATGTGTGTCCATGCCCAGTATTCCAAGAGGAGAATGGAGGAGAAGGGATTATGGCATTGCCATATCTCCTGGGGGACAATTTCTCATTTTCCCTTTCTCTCTCTCTCTCTTTCTCTTTCCAGAGAGCACACATGCTCTACAGCATTATTTTTTACATAACAAGACATATTATGAAAAGAATGGTTGGGAACCAGCAGTTAGCGTAATGGCTATGTCGCTGGACTCCCATGTAGTCGACCGCGGTTCGCGTCCCAGACCCGGGGGCTTAAAACTCACGCCGGGCGCGTGTGCGTGCGTGCCCAAGATCCCGAGAGGAGAATGGAGGAGAAGGGATTGCGGCGTGACCATCCCCTCTGGGGGGTGATTTCTCGCTTTCTGTCTCTCTGCCTCTCTCTGTCTGTCTGGCGAGCGCACGCGCCCTATAGTGAAAACGTCTCCAAAAAAAAAAAAAAAAAAAGTAAAGAAAAGAGTGATTTACTGTAAAATTCACAGTCCTTCAAAGTTTCAACAAATCTATAGTCAGATACAAATAAATAGTTTTAATATTGGCTAAAAGAAATGAAACATTCTGAAAGGTACAGAACACATAAAATCTCAGAATTAAAAAAAAAATTCTGTGCATTTTAAGGTTAGTTCCAGGTTTTATACTCAGAACTCTTTTTAAGGGATTAATATAAAAGATTATTATTAAGAGAGTGGCATAGAAGGTTGGCTCTCTGATGTAGTGGTAATGTTTAAGTGAAGCTGGAGCCATGTGGAAGATAGCAGGTTCAGTCCCCTATCCACCTGAACATGCCAGACCCACATGCCAATGATCCCAGCTGGCTGGGCTGGCTGAGGCGGTCATGATGTGGTACCCTGTTGAGGGTGCTGGTCTCTTTTTTTTTTTTTTTGAGAGAGAGAGAGGCACAAAGAAACAGAATCAGACACACACATACACATATACCAAGAGAGAGAGTGAGAGAAGACACCCAAGACATTCAAAGACTCAGAAGTATGTTTTTATTGTGATATGGACCATTTAGTGCCAGGAAATTCAAAGGGAAAGGCTGACACTGTCCTGAATTCTGGAATCTGAATTCTTACACTAATATAAATGACTCAGCAAATGTTTGTGTGTGCCTGGGCGGTAAAGGGGAAATAGTAGCTTCTTACAACTTCATCCAACTCTGACTTATCCCAGCCCTTTTGATTGACACAGCAGGTCAACACTGGGAGAAAAAGGTCTTTGAATTTCTGTGCGAAACAGTTAAGATGCACTAATTTTGACTTGTAAGCAAGTGTTTATCTAGCAAATGCTTTTTAGAGAGTATCCCCCACCTTTCCCCCACCCATAAAATGTGGAATTCATTAGACTGGCCACTGGGTCCTGTTTACCCAGCTATATAAGGTATGTGTGTGTCTACCAGGGCATCACTTGTTCAGGCCGTTTGGTTAAGTCTTGTAAGATGTTCAGCTGTGGATATACCACATTCCTTCCCTTATGGTCCCCCCCCCCAAAAAAAAAAATAAGTTAGTTGATCAGGTATCAGACATAGAGAAAATCTGGCAGGACTACAGGAAAGTGGCCAGACTTGGAGTGTTTGTGTACTT